CTTTTCTTATTATTATTATTGTAAATATCCAGTATATAAGTGAATGTACAAAATTGAAAATGAAAATGAACAAACATTTAAACAGGAAAAGACCTCCCAGATGGTTTGCTGGGATTAGCATTTTAAAAATGTTTGTTTGTCTGACTCGCAAGTTCAGAGTGTGAAATTCCTGTCTTCCCCAGCCAGTTCCTGCACTGTATAGGCATGTCACAGATTGCGGTGTTCCTTCAAAAAATTAAGATTGTTCACCCCATGCATGGTCACCCTAAATCAGAAATCAGCTGGAACACTGAATCACCTTCCTACTCCTGTTCTGATGTGGTGGAATATAGCTTGGAGTCTGTCCCCCCAGGGCAAAGGGGCAGTGGAGCTTGGAACGTCTGGCAGGCACGAAGAGGATCAAGATGGCCTTGGTTTATGTAGTATCTCCATATTTATGTAGATAGTTGCTTTAGTCTGGCAAGATTTTGTCTGCAGGCAAACAACAAAGTAAAGTCTAACAAAGAGAAGAACTAGGGATGACATGATAGCAGTCTTCCAGTATTTGGGGGGGGCTACCACAAAGACGAGGGGGTCAATCTGCTCTTCAAAGCACCTGAGGGCAGGACAATAATCAATGGATGGAAACTAATCAAGGAGAGAAGCTTGACAGTGAGAACAATTAATCGGTGGAATGGCTTGCCTTCAGAAGTTGTGGGTGCTCCATCACTGGAGATTATTAAGAAGAAATTGAACAGCCATTTGTCTGGAATGTTAGAGGGTCTCCTGCTTGAGCAGGTGTTGGGCTAGAAGACCTCCAAGGTCCCTTCTAACTCTGTTGTTCTGTTACTCAGAAGTAGCCACCTGTTGCTCTTGTTTTTTGAGCCTGACACCCATACTTCATTCTTCTCTCCTAGTGACGATGACAGGTACCGTTATTATAGCCGGGAACGCAGTTACGATTTTGAGCATGACTACCGCAGGAGTAGAGATCGCAGTCGTGAGCGAGAAGATCGTCACCGGGAAAGGAGGCACAGAGAGAAAGAAGAGAGCAGCAAACATAAATCATCACGGCGGTAAGTCAGTGCCTGCTTCTCTTTTTGGTCCAGGCCAAATGCTTTTAAATTTAATGATAATCCAGGTAGTTCTTGATTTATGAGCACAATTGAGCCCAAAATTTCTGTTGTTAAGTGAGACATTTGTTAAGTGGACTTTGCTCCATTTTATGACTTTTCTTGCCACAGTTGTTAAATGAATATAAGGAGGAATTTTCTGACAGAGCAATCAACCAAAGGAATAGAAGTTGCCTCCAGAACTTGTAGGAGCTTCATCACTGGAAGCTTCCAAGGCGAGACTGGACTGCCATCTGCTTGGGTGGGGGGTTGGACTAGATGATCTCCAAGGTCCCTTCCAACTCTGTTCATCTATATCTATCTGCATGAATCACTGCAGTTGATAAGTTAGCAACCCGATTGTTGAGTGAACCCGGCTTCCCCACTGACTTTGCTTAGGAGGTCGCAAAAAGGGATCACATGACCCCGGGACTCTGCAATCGTCATAAATATGAACCAGTTGCCAAGCATCTGAGTTTTGATTACATGGTCATGGGGATGCTGCAAAGGTCATAACAGTGAGGAATGGTGACAACTCACTTTTTTCAGTGCCTTTTTAACTTTGAACAGTCACTAAATGAACTGTTGTAAGTCAAGGACCATTTGTAGTAGCACTGAACTGTATTCTAAAGTAAGTCTGAGTTAGTGAAAACAAATCTCTACCTTGCCTGCTCTAGTTAAAAGCTTCTGGTCAGTTAAAAAGTGTTTCCCTATTGTGGCTATCTTTCCGTTAGACTTAGAGTAAATCCTTGGAAAGTCTGGAGTCTCCACCAGAGGGAACCTCTTGGCCAGCATTGCCATGAGGTGCAGCTGAAGAGGGCAGAGGGAGGACAGGAGGAAGAGCATCACCAAGGCAACACATAGATAAGAGTCTTGAGCCCTGGTCAAATAAGTTACTTAGAGACTGTCTGGTTCACCTGAAGATAAAAGGGAAGGAGGAGGGAGTTACTAGAACTTACAATGAAGGCAGCCCTGATCTACAGGTAGTCTTTGACTTATGGCCAGTCATTGAGAGACCAGGTTGACCTACCTGGGGGTCACCTCTGACCCAGATTCAAAATTCCGATGGTTGGGGCCCCAGGTTGCACTCAGCCACCAGGTCACACTTACAACTGTTTGCAGTTTCTCAAGATGACATGACAAGGTTTTAGGACTGTCATTCACTTCCGATTATTGGCAAAACTGCCCTAGCAAGCCATTGGTTCACTTAACGACCACCGATTAAAATTTGCTTAATGACCAAGTGATTTGCTTAAATTTTATGCAAAAAAGGTAAAATCACACAACCAACCCATTTTATGACAATCTTAACGTGCAATCATGATAGTCAGGCTCCCTTATGGTCCTCACTCAATGACTCCCTCTCTATCATTTTAGTTCCTTAGGCTGGTCTGCCCTGTAGGGCTGACAGTAGCTCACAGTGAAAATGTAGGACATAGAATCATAGGGCTGGAAGGGACCTCAGAGGTCTTCCTAGTCCAACCCCCTGCTCAAGGCAGGAAATCTTATACCATCCCAGTCGTTCTTTGGACACCACCAATGTCCAATGGTGGACACCCCCCCCCCCCCAGGAGGCAGGATATTCTATTGAAAATGTGCCGGTCGTCAGGTTTTTTCAGCCTCCTTTGGAACGGCCAGGATTGATTGCAGTCAAGTATTCTCTTCCACCTCATGTGAATACCGGAAGGAGGCAGGCATGAGGGGGGTGAGGCTTATCCAGTTGGTGACGCAAAATGTTTTTAAGTAACGGCATTGATTTAACGTGTCTATTTACTAGCACGCTGCCTTCTATTCTTTTCATAGGCTGTAATATTTCTCTTGCCTATCACAACGTTGAGCTACTGATTTCTAATAAGGCGTGGAATCTCTTAAAGAAGTGTTGTCTTCCTAGGTTAGGGCTTAAAGAGCTCAATATCAACAACCCTCCTGAATGAAGGCAAATATACATACCGTATTTTTCGCAGTATAAAACACACCAAGGTTTTGAAGAGGCAAATTTTTTAAAAAAAAGTTTTTGTACTCCACAAACCTCCCAAAAACGGCCCATATTTTGCTCGTAGAGTGCTCCTGGATGTGTGTGTGTGTGTGGGGGGGGGGGAAATTGAGCAAAACACGGTCCATTTTTTGTTCATTTCTGCCCTCCCCTTATGCATGGTCATTTTGGTGAAGGGGGCGGGGTTTCAGGAGGCAAAAAATGCTGTATTCAGTGTATAAGACACACCCAGATTTTCAGTCTCTTTTTTGAGGGAAAAAGGTACGTCTTATACTCCAAAAAATACAGTATCCCAGGATAATGTTTCAGGATCCAATCTGGGTCGGTCACCAGGACGAGAGCTTTAGTCTTCTGAGCTTTTGGACTCATGCTGGAGTCCATGCTCAGGGAACGTCTCTCTCTCTCACCATAATTTGGTGAGAACATTCAGGTGAGAGAGAAGTTCCCGGAGGATGGGCTCCAGCACGAAAGGTCAGAAGACTCAAGGTCTGGCCCTGGTGACCAACCCAGAATGGATCCTTTAGCAACAACTCTGTTGCGTTTGTTCATTAGAGCTTACGCTGTGCTTCTTTCCTGGTCCTCCATCAGCAAGCAGCATGAGAGTGAAGAAGGGGAAAGCCACCGTCGACACAAGCACAAAAAGAACAAGCGCAACAAAGAGGAGAAGGAAGCAAGTGAAGATGGACTTGCAGAAGAAAATGAACAGGACACCAAGGAGTAGCGAACCTGGACTCTGCCAGCCAAGGGTGGTGGCGCCTCTCCAGCCAATGTTTCCATTTGGGGTGATCTTCTTCATGGGAGAATGCCTGAGACGACAGAGGTGCCCAAACATGAACACAGGTTGAGTTGCCAACATGGAAAGCCCAACTGCAGGACTTTGAGGAGAGGACCTAATTCGCCACCCCTCTGGCCTTGAGGGGTTCTCTATGCAGACCAGCCCCATCGTGTCAGATCCTATGGCTTCTGATGGGAGTCTGCTTCAGCCTTGAGAGGCTAGGACAAATATTGGGCAATGATTACAGTTTCCTTTTTTTAAAAGAAGCAGGACAGCCACTACGTGGAACTGATTTGGTACAAGAAGAAACAAGTATTGGGTCATCCTCCAAGCCAGGCAATCTGGCTCCTATAAGCTTGTCCCATTTCTCCTTTGCCCCTTAATTGTAGCTTTGAACTTTGGACTTCATTCAAGGCAAGCTTGGTGGGAAACCACAATTCAGCCCCTGGAAGAGTTCTGCCCCATGGAATGTCCATTTCTCCCTAGGCCTCTGGAGTCTTCCAGATCAGAGAGTTGTACTAGGACCAGGTCGAGTGGGCTTTGTGGTGAATTTCAACAGGGCCACTTTTTCAAAGTTGGCCTTAAGTAGTTTGACACAAGCTACTTACTGATCAAGAGCCTCTTTTTTTACCTAAGCCAAGTTAAAAATTGGCAATTTATCTCTAAGTCTCAGAGTCACTTTTCACAACTCTTAAAACACTAAATGTAGAGACATAGGATTTGTGGTTTCCTTTGGAAAAGAATACGCCAGATTCTCTTAAGGCCATTGCTCTTTTGCGCACATCCATCCTTGCATTACCTTCCACCCATGGGAAACGTTTAAAAACACTTCCAAAAAATCATTTCAAATTTATACTTTTTTTGTATTGTAGTTATGCAAATTTGAGTGTTTATATGAAACTAACAACCTTGGACACGTGAGCCAGTATACCCATTGTATTTTGATTTGTATGCTATGATGGTGCAGTGAATGGATCAAGAACAGAAAATACGTAGGAAAGGAAACTTTTGGGGGGGCGGGGGGGACGGGATTAGTTTTTGTGTGGTCATGGCATCTAGGACTCGGTGAAAGCAGCACTTAATACTAAATTTTACACTGCAAACTGAATTCATAGAAGCTTTCTTGCTGTTTTGTTTGTCATATGGAAGTGGTGTGTTCTTAAGTTTCTGATGATACAGACTAACAGTCTCTTCAGAACAAAATATGACCCACAAGTTCATATTTCACTTTCTAGACCAATGTTTTTCAACCATGGCAACTTGAAGATCAACCAGAATAGAATAGAGCTGGAAGGACCTTTGAGATCTTCTAGTCCAACCCGCTGTTCAAGCAGGAGACCAGACACATTTTGAGACAAGTGACTGTCCAGTCTCTTCTTAAAAGCCTCCAGTGATGGAACTCCACAACTTCTGAAGGGAAGACATTCCACTGGTTAATTCTATCAGGATATTTTGCCTTAATTCTAACTTGCTACTCTCCTTGATTAGCTTCCATCCATTGTTTCTTATCCTGCCTTTAGGTGCTTTGGAGAATAGGTTGAGCCGCTCTTCTCTGTGGCAACCTCTCAAATACTGGAATACTGCTATGATGTGAGGGCCAATTCTGGAAGTCTCCACAGAACTGGTCTCTGGTTCCCAAAAGGTTGAGGACAGCTGCTCTAGTGTATGGTTTACTGGGACTTCAAATCCCAGAATTCTTTGCAGTGGCCAGGCTGGTTGGGGAATTCTGGGAGTTGAAATCTGCACATTTTTTAAGTTGCTTAGATTGAGAAACGCTGGTCTAGACATGCTGTGCAATCATGGAAATGATACTACAGAATAGCCAGAAAAGATTATAGGCTCACCATACAAGATTAGTTGTTTTTAAAAGAACATTTTGTTTTAAAAAAACAACCCTTCAGCAACTTGGTTGCCTCAACGACTTTGCTTCAAAGATGACTATTTATCAAGTGTCTGGTTCTCAGTGTTTTTACCGTTATGGCTGATAAAAGCTGCCATAATGTTTTAATAGGAATGTTGTTAAGAGCCCAATCTATCTTTGTCCATTCAAATGTTTTATAAGATTAAAACTCCACATCTCATCGCTTTCAAACAGAAAGGTTGGCCTAACTCTGCCTTCTCCTTCCAAACTAAATGGCTTTTTAAACAAGCATTTAGGACAGGGGTGTCAAATTTGTGGCCTGCGGGCCAGATGTGTCCTGTATTGGCTCCACCCCCACCCTGTTTAGCAAGGGGGGGGAGTCCTGATACGTCACGTGACGCCATCGTGACAACAAGAATTTGACATCCCTGATTTAGGAGGACAAACCATGATGCTTTGCATTCATGGAATATTTCAGATGCTGAGTGCTAGGAAGGGATATGATCTTCCAAACATCACAAGTAAGGTAAGAATATATTTCAAGCTTGCAGGAGCCCAGTCTTCCTTGTATAATAGAAAGATAAGAGTACCAGTGGTCACAAGGAAAAATGAAAGAAATCTGTGGAAATTGATCTGGTCAGAACAGAAAACCCAAACTTCTTCCGTAACTCCAGAATAATAATTTATAAATGTATCAGAGTATTGACAAAGGTCTCTACAAGTTTCAACAAATTCTTTGGTGCAAAATAATACAGTAGCTACTAGATTTCCTGCTGATTGTTGAAGGCACATTGAAATCAGACAATACAATGAAATGAAAACACACGTCCCCTTCATTTGAGAAAAAAAAAAAGGTTTGACATCCTTTTTATAGCCATTGCAAGAGTCACACATTACAGAGGTCACATGGGACTCAAACCCGAAGACAGAAGTCAATATTCTTATCAGTCAATTAGGCAGACCAATATCCTTTCAAAGCACATCTGAAGACAGACATCAGAAATATACTTCGACAAATACATTTTTAAGTGAATCAACATCCTTAAGTGGAGCACTAGTGCCTACTTGTCAGATTCAAATGAGGCAACAGAGTCCAAGCATGAATCAGATTTAAACATAAATCATAAGTCCTTTTTTGTTCATTTGCTATTTCACACAGCCTCTGTGAACGCCAAGTCCTGTGTTTTCCTCAGCCTGACTTGCTGTTCAGATGAAATAAGGCTCCAACTGAAAGGCTCATCAGAGCCTCCAGGAAGCGAAGGGCCTGGGGGCGGCAGCAGCCCCTTGCAAGTTGTTTCCTGAGATGTGTGTGCCTCCCACCCACTCATCTTATGAGCAAGTGAGAGAAGCGCATTGTACACTAGGGTCGCCAACCTTGGCAGCTTTAAGACCTGTGGAGTTCAACTTCCAGAATTCCTCAGCTATCCATGTGGCTGGGGAACTCTGGAGTTGAAGTCCACAAGTGGCCAAGGTTGGAGAGTCCTGTGGTAGAAGGTTGCCATGTTTCAGCAACCTGAAATTTCTGTGCAAATCGAGGTCTGAGAAATCCCTTTTAATTGGAGGTAGCAGGCCCTATTAATTTCCTAATTACGACAAACTAATAAATTGTCTAACTTATTCCACAACCACACAATATTTGCAAACAGGCTAGTGGAATCCCTTTGTAAATCGTGAAACTTTGTAGAAAATGGACAACAGAAAGCAAGTTTTCAACCTGGTGAAATAAATGTAGTGTATCCTATGCTTAGAAAATAATTATTAAGGATATTTAAGGGGGGAAAGATTACTTTGACAAAAAGAAAATTTCTATCTTCAAGTGTCAGCATAGGCACCCATACACACACAGGCAAGGGAACCTAGCAAAGGCCTTCCTTAGGCACAGCTTTTGCTACCTTTCTGTAGGGCGGGCTGCTTATTCCTTTTTTCCATTTGCTGTGCAACTGGTCACAGGACAAAAGGACGTACTTGTTAAGCAATCTTGTTAAGCAATCACAATCACAAGGATGCTCAATTAGTTAAGGGAGATGACCCATCTAAAAACAAACAAACAGTGCAGGGATCAGATCAAAGGAAAACAAGGCAGGGAGGTGGCTTTGGATGGCTTCTTCCCCCCTGAGTGGATAAGGATGCTACACTGAACACCTGTTCATCTCCTTTTTCCCCAGTAAACCGCAGATAAAATCAGCTGAAGGACTGCAAATGTTACGTGTGCAGAGGGAAAATGCCCTTGAAGGGACAGGAGGGACAATGGCTTTAGTTCCTCCTCAGTATTTTCTTTGGCCGTCTTAAGGAGCTGCTGAGATAAGAAGCTAACTCGACCAGGATTGTGGTCCTAATGAGATTGTCAGGATGGGAATGAGCTGGAAGAGAATCCTTCATGCCCTGTGAGAGAGATTGAGCAGCTGACCCTGTTTGAACCTCCACCCCACCCCCCTGTCTGCAGAGACACAAAAAGCCTCTATGTGGTGTCTATCAAATGGCCAAAGTCTGCCTTTCTGCAGTGAAATACTCTTCCAGAGCTCATGGGAAATAAGTGACAGGAGAGAAAGTCAGAAAGGGGGCTCAGTTGAGTAGGAACATCCTCCTGTTGGGCTTCCAAACCTCCTTGAAAGCAGCTCCTGAAGTCAAACATGGCTGTGAAGCATTACATAACTCTTGAGACTGGCTCAAGGCTGAACAATCAGCTTGAACAAGAGGAATAAATACACCTCAACAAGGGCTGAGCATTCAAGGCACCAGTAACTACAGTGAGACCAAACTAAATGATTCACCCATTGCAACGATTAGTCAGCATCTTGAAGGTTGCTACTTCAGTTCACTAAGAGCCGAGATTATGGTGTTAAAGGCCATCAATCAGATGAGTTTCAGCCGGCTGGCCTTTAGTTTGGCAGGTTTAAGAGAGGAATTCAGGAGAAGCTCAGAGTTTCCCTGTTCAACAAAAAATAACCACAGCCCGAGATGCCTCCAGCTGCTTATCAGAATACAGTTTTCAGCTTACCGAGTGGGTGGATCTAAAATCAAACTCAACAACAAGCTACCTTTGCCTTTTCTGTAGAAAAATCTGCCCCTTGGAGGAAGCCTGTCTGAGACCTGCTCAGCCACCACTTGGTTTCTTCCCTCCAATGAAAGGCTCCCCCAAAGGCATTTCAAATGAAGCCTCTTATTCCAGTTGGGCTCTTAGACGTGGCTGCCAGGCCAGGAGACCACTGTGAGAGTCACTTTATTCCGCTGCTCCTTCAGCATCGGAATGAGCTCACTGTTGCTCATCCCAACAGCAGACACTCCGTTGACGGCCACAATTTCATCCCCGCACCTGGTGAGGGAAAAGGAAAGAGGCCATTACAACAACGTCTTCAAGACCTCCTTCATTGTGACTCCAACAGCAACAAAAACGTCCATTATGTTAAATCCCCTGCAACACTTTTACACAAACACAAGTCACTTTTCTTGTACATTTTCCTTCTTTCTACCATTTTTACTTTTTTGCACTTCTTTTTCTATTTCTTTCTTTTGTTTAAAAATAATAATAAAGTTTTTAAATACCATCTGACAAAAGAAACAAATAACAAACATCCAGTCCAAAAGATTTTCAAGCAAATTCATGCACTAACTCCCCATTGCAAATGAGTTTACAGTGGTACCTTGGTACTCAACTGCTTCAAACTCATTGAATTTGAAGCAAAAGTTTTCTCCCAGTACTCATTGTTTGGTTGGTACTCAATGCACAAGCTAGAACGTTTCGGTTCTCCTGCCTTGTGACTCACTACATTATTACTTATGGGAAAAATCCATTTTTGATACTCATTGCGCCTCCTGGAACCAATTAACAATGGGTACTAAAGTACCACTATACTACAGATGTGAAACACACTTATAAAGATGGCATTTGGTGACTCTCTTGATCACAGCATTGCTTCTTACATGCTGCATACCAAGTCACTTCTCCTGTTTTTCAAGAAAGAAAAGTGGGGAAACTAACACTTCCTTCCCAGACATTGAGCTGTGGTGCACAGTGGTTAGAATATTGCAGGCTACGTCTGCCAGTCCCATCCTGACCAGCACAAGGTTGACTCAGCCTCTCATCCTTCCGAGGTGGGTAAAATGAGGACCCCGATTGTTGGAGGCAAGAGGGTGACTCTGTAAACTGCTTAGAGAGGGCTGGAAAGAACTGTGAAGCAGCATATAAGTCTAAGTGCTCTTGCTAGTGCTATCTGCTGTTGAGGTCATGAAAAGCCAGCTGAATTGCACATTCAACCCTTGCGTTCAAGCCCCTTAGGGGCAAGTTGCAGTTTTTGCATGCTCTGGGGAAATTTTAAAGCAATATTGACCTTTTTTTTGTAAGTCAATCTTGACATCTGCCTGCCTAGATTAGTCCTGCAGTTTTCTGAACAAATTTTTTCAGCATGCTGTGCCCCCTGCCTTTCCTAGGGGTGAGAGAGAGGGAAGGTCCAGGGTCATCCAGCTGGTGTATAAGGCAGGGCTAGAATTCAGAGTCTCTCGGTTTCCAGCCTGGGCCCTTTAACTGCTATGCCAGGCGGTGAACCAAAGCGGAAAAGTGGAAAACCAAAACCGTAGGAGTAAGAATGCACGCACTTCAGCCGCCGGTCCCAGAAGGCAGGAGTCTCAGGCACAATGGTTTTAATGAAGAATGGCTGGTTTCCTTTGCTTTCTTCGAATCCACCCACTATGCTGAATCCCCAGCTCTCCGAGTTGCTTTTGCGCAAGACAATATCTTGACAGCAGTGGAGCTGGCTGAAAGAAAAAGAAGAAGAGCCCATTGGAGTTATCGCTTACCTTTGTGTGGGGAGAGGCGTCACAGCAGGAGTGAGTAACTATGGCAACTTTATGACCTGTGGACTTGAACTTCCTGCAATGCAGAGCTGAGAATAGCACCAGGTGGTAGAATTTTAAAACAGGAAGTCCTGCAGGTATCACAGGTAACATTAACTCCAGTGTCCAGGATTATTATAAGGGATGTCAAACTGGGCTTCTGTAGTTTATATTCCAGTTTCCCTGAGTTTACCAGCTTCAGTTATCAACACACAAACATCTATCCCACCATAAAAAAAGGTCCAACAGGGTCAACTTCATTCATTCTATTCCATCTTTCCATCTCTTTCCTCCAAAGCAGCGTCTGACCTATTGTCTTCCCATCTTTCATTATTTCACGTAATGCAAACTTGGAAGATGCTTAAGGAGTTTGGAAGGAGGGCCAGCCAAGCCACCCTAAAGGAGCCCAGGCAGAATCCTCCCCAGTTCCATTGCAATCTGGAGTCCTGGGTGCCCTCCGAACCTGATTGAAGAGCACCAAGGACTCCTTCAACCCTGAGCTGCAGTTCTTCTCTTCTATGGGAATAGACTGCCATGCCCTCATTTTGTGTGACCACCTACAAAAACGTATTCTTTGAAAAGCCACAGGAGAAAATCAATCACCTGGCTTTAATAATCAGCACACTCACTTATCAGGTTCATGGAAGATAGCCAGAACTTGGACTAAAAGGAAAAAGGGAGGAAGGGTGTTTTGTGTTGATTCAAGGAAGGGGGTGCTGGGCTTAAGCTCAACACTGGGGAAAATCCTTTAGCACTGAAGGTCTGCATTTTCAATTGTCTCAGGTTCAGAACTGGGAGAGAGCTCTAAGTCATAGCATTTCGATTCAAGGGTTAACGGTGTCTGTTTAGGCAAGAAAAACCAAATGCAGACTAGGTGACACGTGGTTCAACAGCAGAAAGATCTACTTGTTCTCGTGGACTATCACTTAAGAATGTGCGGCCGTGTGCTGCAGCTGCTAAAAAAGCCAACACAATCCTAGGCTACATCAACAGATATAACAGCAGGATGGCTATAAATTACAGTACTGCTCAAATATTACCTTGATAAGACCACACTTGGAATACTGCATCCAGTTCTAATCGCCATAATACAAAAAAGATGTGGGGTGAAGAGAAGAGCAACAAAGATAATTAGGGGACTGGAGACTAAAACATATGAAGAACGGTTGCAGGAACCAGGACTGTCTAGTCTAATGAAGAGAAAGATTAGGATGATATATTTAACAGGCTGTCACAAAAAAAGGGGGTTGAACAGTTGCGGGAACTGGTATGTCTAACACAGGGGTGTCAAACTCAAGGCCCACGGGATGGATCCTGCCTGCGGGGGGCTTAGATCTGGCCAGCGGAGAAAACAGTGAAGGACTGGCCCACAGTGCCTCTGCCAGCGAAAATGGAGCTGGAGCAGACCTTGTGCGGTCCTTCTGAGCTCTGTTTTCTCTGGCAAAGGCCACCACAGCCCCCCCCAACACAAGTGACTTTGAGCTAGCCCCCCCCCAAGGTCAAACACAACTCTGATGTGACTCTCAATGAAAT